AGGGGGAGAGAAAAGGAGAGAAGGGAGGTGGGAAAGAGGCAGGAAAGGGAGGGGAGGGGAGGATGGAAGGATGAATATAGGCAGGTAGACCGTGTAATTTTATCACTTGATGCATAAAACAGTTGATAAAATGCAACATCCACTCCTAACAAAAACTCTCCCATTAAAGAGATTGTTCAACAAAGCACCTGCGGAAAACCTATGGTTGACATTCTACATCAAAGTGAAAGAGTGAATCCTCCCCTAGACCAAGAAGCACAGACACCTTTTCTTACCGTTCTTGTTCAACAGAGCAACAGAAGGACAAGGAAAGGACGTTAAATGTACATAAGACACAAAGCAAGAAATACAAGAACACCTACCTCCAGATGATGTGCTCACCTATCCATAAAACCTCAAGGAATCTAAAAAATACAACTAATGGCAAGTCCAGCAATGCCACAGAACACAAGGTCAGCAAATGAAAATTGCTACATTTTATTGCTAGGCAGTAAACACACAGACACACAAAATGAAAAATGATACAGTACCAGCCAGACATGGTGGCACGCACCTTTAACCCCAGGCAGAGGCAGGTGGCTCTCTATGAGTTCAAGGCTAGCATGGTCTACACAGTGAAGTCTAGGCCATCCAAGGCTACATATAGTGAGTCCTTGTCTCAAAAAAACAATTAATTAAATTAAAATTAGGCACTGGAGATGACTCAGCAGTTAAAAGTACCTGATTGCTCTTGCAGAGGACCCAGATTTGATAAGCAGCACCCATATGTCAGCTAACGACCATTTATAACTCCAGGGATCCAACACCCTCTCTGGCCTCCATGGGCATGGCATACACATGGCACATCTATATACATACAGGAAAAACACTCATACACATAAAAATAAAATTTTAAAATGTAGTCTATTTAAAGTTGCTAAAGTATTTACCTTTGTATATATCCAACAAAACAATCAAGAAAACACATCTACAGCAACAAAGATCTCAACAAACAGGCATACAGTGACCACAGTAAAGAGACCCATTTACTCCAAACTGATTGGGGTCTAATGCAATTTCAGTCAAAATTCCAGCAAGATGTTTTTGTAGATATAGATCATTCTATAATTTATATGAAAAAGCTAACAAATATGAATAACTACCAACTCTGTGAATGAAATCAGTGAGGGAAAATCAGTCTACCTGGTTTATTTCTTTCAGAGCTAACAGAAACCAAAACTATGGGGTATTAACAGACACACAATTAATGGAACAAACAATCCAGAAACTAACATACAAATATACCTAATTGCTTTTGACAAACACATAAAAGCAATTCAATGGAAGAAGGGCAACCTCTCCAACAATGGGTGCTGAAGCAACTGACCATCCACAGGTAACAACCCAACCAGGACTTAGGCTGACACCTTATACAAAAGCTAACTCAACATGGATCATATAAAGCATGTAACCTTTGGGGCTGGAGAAATGGCTCAGCAGTTAAGAGCACTGACTGCTCTAACAGAGGACCCGGGTTTGATTCCCATGGTTCTAACAACTGCCCATAAATCCAGTTCCAGGGGATCCGACATGGTCTTCTGACTTTCCATGGACAGTGTACCACATGGGTGCACTTACACAAATGCAGGCAAAACACTCATACACAAAATAATTAAAATAATAAAAAATAAAAATAAAAAGCGTGTCACCATGCCCTGCCTTTAAAAAAATGTAACTTTCAGGGCGGGGAGGGGGCGGATCATAGGAGACTTTCTTCAGGATCTAGGTCTAGGTGAAGATGAAGAGTTCTTAAAACCAAAACAAGATCCATAAAAATGAGAAACCAGACTTCAACAAAATTACATATTTTTGTTCCACAAAGACCTTATTAAGAGAATGAAGAGACAACCTAGAGACAAAGCACATCTCCAACAAGACTAGTAACTAGAATATATAAAGTACTGGCAAACTATACAATCTAACTAGAAGTTAAGCAAAAATCATTTCCCTGAAGAAAATCATGGATGACAAGATGCTGAAGAACACCTAGTTCAGCAGCAGAGAGCTGGCCTACTGCCTGCAAGCCCTGAATTTTATCCCCAGGACCATTTAAAACGAAAAGATGCTCAACACCATTAGCCATCAGGGTAAAAGACATTAGAACCACAGTAAGCTTTAATTACATACCTATCCGAATACATAATGTAAAAAACAGTGATAACAGAAAATGTGAGAATGCAGAGAAGCCAATCATTTTATCCACATTAGGAATGCAGTGTTACAGCTACCATACCACCCAATCAACCCAGCAACTTCCTCCCAGAGAAATGCAGACTTAGGTTCAAATAAAAACCTATATGAGAAGTCAAAAGTGGTGGTACACTCCTATAATCCCCAGTACCTGGGAGGTAGAGGCAGGAGGTTAAGGCCAGCGTGAGCTACACAGCAAGTCTACAAGCAGACTAATGTAAGACCTCATCTCAGAAACAGAACCAAAGAACCCTGCACATGAATGCGCATTAGCACTTTACTTGTGATAGCCAAAAACTGAAAGCAACCAGACATCCAACAGGTAAATGGTTAAAAGAACCATAAAAAGACACAAGACACTTGGAACAAAGTGTCCCAAATGTGAACACTTCAGATCTCCAGTGTTAACCCTTTCTCAATCCTCCCCCACACTGGACCAAGAGGACATCCACAGTATGACAATAAAAAGAAGCAACTATTGATACATGCCAACAACCTAGATAAATCTTCTGAGAGTTCAATGGTACTTATTGTACAATTCCATTTATAAAATATTTTTATATTAAATATTTTATGTATTTTTAATGTGTATGGGTGTATTGCTTGCATGTAGGTAGGTGCACCCGTGTCATGAAATGCCCTCGGAGGTCAGAAGAGGGCATCGGATCCCCTGGAACTAGAATAACAGATGGTTGTTAGCCGCCATGTGGCTGCTGGGAATCCTGGGTCCTCTGCAAGAGCAGTCAGTGCCCTTAACCAGTGAGCCATCTCTCCAGCCCTATAAAATACTCTTCAAATGACAAAATTTTCTTTTAGAAATGGAGATCAGATTAATGATTGTGTGTGTAAAGTCTGGCACAGTGGTACATGCCTGTAGTCCCAGCACTCCGGGCTGAGGCAAGAGGATTACTTAAACCCAAGAGTTGGAAACAGCCCAAGAACGTAGTGAGACCCTGTCTCAAGAAAACAGAACAAACAGCCCAACACAACACAGAACACTAAAGAAGGGCCGGAGAGATGATGGCTGAGTGGCTAAGAGCACTTGCTGCTCTTGCAGAGGACTGGGGTTCAGTTCCCAGCACTCACATGGCCACTTACAGCAATCTGTAACTCCAGTTCCCAGGGATCTGACACCCTCTTCTGGCCTTCATGGGCACTACACACATGTTGCACATACATAAATGCGGGCAAAACACTCATCTGCATAAAATAAAAAACTTAAACAGAAAAGTAGTCCTCCTCCAGGCTACCATGGTTATGAAAAACAAGGAAAACAGACTGTGTCACAAACCAAAGAGACATGCTGCTTTTGTACAATGCACCTTGGATTAGGTCCTGGAACAAAGGAGGATGTTAATGGAAAAACTGGCAAAATCCAAATGGAGTCTAGAACCTGGTGTCTAAAACCCCTACAGAGCACTAACATATGATTAAGATTTGAACTTATTAATGGTTTTGTGATGAGAGAAAGACAGAAACATACCTAAAATCTCTGTGCTCTGTAGGCTAAGGTAGGAATATCACCAAGTTGGAGCTACATAGTGAGACCTTGTGCATCAAACATCCATAAAGAGGCCAGTCACGTGGCTCATGCATGTACTCCATCATCTGGAAGGGTGAGACAGGAGGACTGCCGTGAGTTGATCCCATCCCCTGGGACAGAGTAAAACCCTGTCTCAAGCAACAACAAAAACAACCACAAAAATGAAAAAAACAAAACATCTTTCCAGGAGGATGAAGAGATGGCTCAGTGGTAAAGAGCACTTACTGCTCTTGAGGACCTGGGTTTGGCTCACAGCGACTCACAACCATCTGTTAACTCCAGTTCCAGGGAATCAGATACCCTCTTCTGGCCTCCACAGGCACCAGGGATGCACACAGTACACATACATATACGCAGACAAACACTCATACACACATAAAATTAAAAAAGAGGGGAGGGGAAGGAGGTCACTGATCAGTCAGCATGGCAGGGGCAAAACCCGACCCAGGTAGCTGGGACTTCCGGTTGGAATAGACCCATGATCTAACCTGATGCACCACTGAGTATTTGACTCACAACCAGTCTTAACTATTCAAGCAGCTCATTCACTCACTCAACAGGCCTTCCCTGAGAGGCTACTACTTAGCAAGGGCTGTAAAGTCTCTAGGAATGTATGTCTGGAGAGGGGAGTCATTACAATCTCTGCCCTCATGAAGTTTAAACTCCACTAAGAAGTCGAGCACTTCAGTGTGTGCACAAATGACACACGAGCACTCTCAGAAATTTTAGATCTTCTGTTTAAGAGATACCAAACAAACCATTGGAACATTTGCTGAACCCAGTTATCACTGCCTTTTGAATAAAGGCATCTTAGACTTCAAACTACAGACGACCTGGAATCCTGTTAAAACGGACATTAATTCAGCCAACGCAGATGGGTTCGCCCAAGACTCAGTATTTCCTTCAGATTCCCAGGTACTGAGGCTGGTGCTGGTCCATGAACCACAAACAAAGTTCTCTGCAAACATCCTCAAACTTGCAAAAAATGCAAGCTCCATAAAGGCAAAAACACTTTGTCTCTCTCATTCACCCAAGTGTACCCAAGACTTAAAACTGTGCCTATTAGCCCCAGGACTTTAAACAGGTGGCAATCAAAAAATATTTACCAAATACATAAAATGGATGCACGGTCAGGCCCAGGACTATTCAATTCAGCTGGAGCACATTTGGCTGTTGAATCCTTGAATGCGGCTAGCTGAGTGAGGAGCTGAAATTTCTAAATTCCAGTTTAAGTAACCACATGTGATTAGTGGCTGCTACTCTAGATATTCCAGGTCTAGACATAGGTATGACGCAAAAAGCACAGGACTAATAAAAGTCTACGTCTGAAGCCCAACTCTGCAGCGTGCGACCTGCAAAGTTTAACTTTTTGGGGGCTCGATTTCATCTAGAAAATTAGGACAAGATCTGCTTCTCAGGAGTTCTTCGTGTTATCATGAAGGGATTTACTATTAAACATGAAGTACTAAGGTGACATTCTCCGTCCTCCACCAACGACTCAAGATCACAAAGACTACTCTGCCTGGAGCCCACACATGCCAGAAAATGCCAAGCCCTTAGGGTTATGGGCCGCTTGGCTCAGGAGCTTTGAAACAAGGCCAAGGTCATGAATTCGGGGGAGGTGGGTTCCGTTCGGCAAGGGTGGCCAGGTAAGAGGCGATGACAATGCAAGTCATCCCGATCCCTGGTAAACCCTCCGCAGGCACGGTGCTGAGGCTGGGTGGCATCTCATTCATTCATTCCTCCGTGGAGGGCTGCCACTCTGCCCGAAGCCCGCTACTTCCCGTGCACGGACCTGGGCTCGGGCACCCCGGGGCTCGAGGCGACCGGGAAGCCCCCGGCCCCGGCCGGTCCTCCCCTCCCCCCGCTGCCCCGGACCGGCCAGGGTCAAGCTGGTACCGCGGCTCCGAGCACCGCTCGGCGGAACCCAGAAGCCATATTTAGCTCTGTTTTGGTCAATAAAACTTCCGTCTTCTGGAGAAAAACGGTCTACAACTCAATGTCAAGCTGGGACGGAAACTCGCCGCTCCGAGCGGACGACCGCACACGCCGCGTGTCCCGGACGCCCCGCCGCGGACCCCGGCCCGGCGCAGCCACAAAGGCCAGGACACGGCCCCGCCCCGC